GACATCACCAGGATGTGGGGTTTTCTCTTTACTTTTGGAGATTAGCTTCCTGATGAAACCCCGCCTCGTTCAAGACAAGTTAAGCGGGTTAGGACGCAGCACTGCAAGCTGGCCGCAGCCGCTTCAGTGCAAATTCCGTCCCGGGCCCCCGAGCTGACCCACAGGGCACGGCAGACCCCTCCTGTCTCTCCGCTGCTCCCCTCAGCAGTGCATTTCAGTCCATCTGCCTGTTCTGCTCCCCACTCTGTCTCTGGGGAATCCTCTCACCGCCCCTGCACCTCTGGCCTGTACCCCAGTTCTGTATGCGTAAATAAAAATGACAAAAAAGGAACAACTGACCAGGGTCTGCCCTACATGGGGCTCCAAGCAGAACGTCCAGAGACGCTGCCCAGACAGCGGGGTGGGCTGAGGCCTCTTCTATTTCTCTTACAGACTTTTTAACTTGGAACCAAAGAGAATGCAGCAAGCTCCAGCACTTCCTGTGCAAGTACCGGCCCTAGGCGCCAGGGGGCGCCCCGTCCGCGCGCCCCCGCCCCCGCCCCCGCCCCGCTCCCGGGGTGGGGCTCAGTGTCCCGCAGTAAAGGTGGCCGCTAAGCCTGCGGAGGCCCTCACGGTCGGCAGCTTAGAGGCAGAGACCCCACACGGCTCCGCGTGGTTTCTGGCTGCGAGTCCCGCGCGCCCCTTCCCCACGCGCGCCTCCGGCCCCTCCCGCCGGCCGCTCAGCAGGCGAGTGTGAAGCCCGTGACCACAGCGCTGGGTCTTTGCCCACCAGTGACAAAGGTTTGAAAACAACGAAGCAGAAGGAAACCCAGGAAGCAGCCTCCCACCCCGCTGCACCCCCCTGCCTGCCCCCCCCCATGCCCACGCCCTCCGCTGCCCGCTCGGTCTCCCCTGGGCAGGGACCCTCACCGGCCCAGTCCCGCCGCGGGATCCCCCGAAGAGGACACGGCTCAGAGCCACAGCCCTGGCTTAGAGGCGGTGGAGAGGGGGGCGCCTGCTGCCCCAAGCCATGGGCGCTGTTAGGGTCCCCTGGGGGGGAGATGGCGGTCACGCCTGGGCAGCCAACCAGTCACTCGGTACCCACCGTCCCCTGCCGCTAACAGTCTCCTGGCCCTGGGAGGTGTGAGATCATTGGTGGTGCAAGGACTGACCAGGTCAGTTCCCCCTGGGGGCATAAGGAGCCATGTGGACTTGACTGCTGTTCCAGTGTGCCCATGTCTTAGCCAGAAGCGTGGGGGAGCAGGTGTGGTTGGGCCCTGGGCCCCCCACGGCACTGCCCACAGCAGACAGTGTTGCCCTTTCTCGGCTGGGCAGGCTGAGGCCCGAGAGCCAGTGCTGGCGGAGAAGGGGTGCAGCAGGGGGAGGCGTGACCCCCACGGAGCGCTGACCCCCGTGCCTCTCCTCTCGCGGCCCCCGTCACTCAGACTGTCCGAGCAGAGAGCACCCCTAAGAAGAGGTTGCTCCCCTCTAGCATTACAGGGCTCTTTCACTCAGAGATTTCACATGGAAGCTGGAAGGGGCCGTCAGTCGGAGCAGGGGTTAGCAGAGGGCCGGCACCAGCCCCTAGGGGATCTGGGCGATCCCCTGGCAGACACACGGACCATGATGGCGGTGGCAGGCCGTTCGGGGTCACAGGTCAACACGAGCCTGGTCAGAGCCCTGTTGGATTAAGAGACAGACTCGGGCGTACCTGGGAGAACAAGACTGCAATGACAGGGTCACACCCAGGCCGAGTCTCTCGCTGTTTCTGACCAGGCGCGCGTCAGAGGCCCAGGGCGCGTGGGCCCTCGCGCTCTCCTGGCACCCGCAGGGACAGCGTGCCCCGCGGCCACGCAGCGCTGGCAAAGAGGGTCACACAGCCTGCAGCAGCTGTGCCCAAGTAGACTGTGCCCTAGGACCGCGTCAAAATGGGTAAAAGATGCCTGGAAACAGTTCCAGCTGGAAAGCACCTCCGAGTTAAGACACTCGTGGCGTGTAACCAGGAGGAGATGCCCTCCTTAAAATCGCTGCGGTGCCAGGAATACCCGTTCCCACGTCCCCGCGAACTCGGTGATGTCCCACAGGGCCGGGCCGGCTGAAGTATTCCGAGGTCGCTCTGGGCCTGTGTTCGTGCTCATTGGTGTCCACGCAGCTCTGCTTACAATTCCTTACAATTGTGGGGGTAGCACCCCAATATTTGAGGTAACGCTTGCTGTGCACCAGGCATTAATTTTTTTTAAGATTTTTAAATTTTTTTTAAAGATTTTTATTTATTTATGCATACAGAACTGGGGTACAGACAGAGGTGCAGGGCAGTGAGAGGCTTCACCAGAGACAGAGTGGGGAGCAGAACAGGCCGACTGACCAAGGTCACTGCTGAGGGGAGCAGCCGGGAGACAGGAGAGGGCTGCCGCGCCTTGCGGTCACCTCCGGGGCGGGGATCGAACTTGCACTGAAGTGGCTGCAGCCAGCTTGCAGTGCTGTGTCCTCACCCGCTGGGCCACCAGGGAGGGCCAGGCCCCCGGGCACTCATTTTAGGGGAATTTGGGGATTTGTATGCGAAAAAAGCACATCAGACCCCTTTCCTTAGTGGAGGTATAAAAGCAACCAAGTGAGCGAGAATGGAGTGTGATGGCCAGAGCTGCGTGATGGAGCCAGACGCCCGGGCGGGCGGAGCGGGGCTCTGTGCGGCGAAGCGACTGCCCCAGCGGGCAGCCATCTCTCAAGTGAAAGAGAGAATGTGTGGTGATGTGGGTCCACCGTCCAGAGCAGGTTAGACTTCAGGAGCTACTTGACCGGAGACGGACATCACCAGGATGTGGGGTTTTCTCTTTACTTTTGGAGATTAGCTTCCTGATGAAACCCCGCCTCGTTCAAGACAAGTTAACAACTCCAGTCCGCCCCTCGCCGGGAAAGACACAGGCGCCCTCAGCCTCAGCCCCAGCACAGCTTTTCCAAATTAAGCCTCCGTGGCCAAGACTTAATTGCCTAATGGGAATTTTGTGCTCTAGCCGGTCACTATGCCAGGGTAGGTGGTGCTCACTTTGCTAAGTCTATCCCTCATGAACCCCGAGGGGCACAGCCCCAAGCCCAGATCACTAGCTACAGGAAAGCAGACAAACTCAGCAGCCCAGTTCTAAGCGGCGGGTTAAATCAGGGACAGGCGAGTCCTGTCCACTTTGGCATCTCACGGACCGAGGCACCGTGAGGGTGAGGGCCTCGTGCAGGCGGAGGACTGTGAGCCGTCTGGGTGTCTGGGGGCCCGGCCTGGCAGGCTCCCGACTCGCCACGCCCAACTCGCCGATCCGCCCTTTCCGCGGCTCCTGTAACCCCCTTCTGGACCACGCAGAATCCCGCTTCCAGCACTGGCTGCCGCTCGTGGTCTCTGGGAAAGCCTTGCCGGGTTCAGCTACACCGGTGCTTCAGGTCAGTCCTCGTCCGGCAGAACACAACAGCCCTCAGGGTCTGGCAAAGATAAGCTCAGGTCCAGGTCTGCCACCCAGGAGTCTGTGTTAGCACCGTGTAACCGCGGGTCGCGTGGCCACAGACGTGGCATTTTGTGGTTTGGTTGTGATTTTTCTACTCCTAGCTTCTTTCCCCACCCCACCTTTGCAAGCATTCTTATTTGGATCTGTTTTTGCAAAACACGAACTGTCCCTTTGCGTGTGTTTGGTTTAAACTGGCGCAAACGCTGCTCTGATGCTTCGGCGTCACTGTGCATTCACCTTGCGGCTTCGAGCCCCCCGGCCTCGTAGCACCAAGCACGTGGACTCTCCGGCATGGACGCCCAGATGACCGCCAGTTCCCTCTTAGAGTCGGGTTGCACTTTCGTACAAAACGCATCTTTCCTAGTTAACTGCTGAGCTATTCATGTCGCATGAAGGTTCCCTCGGTTCCTGTGTGCAGTAGGTCACGTGCTCACGTCCGCCAACTTTGTGACCACTGTGTTCCGCAGTGCCTTTTGCAGGAGACATGTTAGCAAATCCTTTTTGTTTTTTAAAGATTTATTTATTTATGCTTGCAACTGGGGTACAGGCCCGAGTGCAGGGGTGCTGAGAGCATTCAGCAGAGACAGAGTGGGGAGCAGAGCAGGCAGATGGACGACCAGCGCCTCAATCCCAGGCACCATCACGGAGGACTTTCATGTCATTTTTAAAATCCTTCCCTGCTTTTGTTGACATTAACTTTTCTTCTCCTGGCTGCCTTCATTATGTATTCTAATTTGTTCCCGGGGCTGCCCTGAAGACCAGCATTTATTTACTTATCCTAAATTGTTTTGTTAACGCTCAGTCACTGCATCTTTGCTCTAAGCATGTCTCTTCCGTGGTCACCTCCTTCCCACCCCCCTTCCATGGAGAGAGCTCGGTTTTTAGGTAAAATTGTTGCAGTTATACTTTCTCCTAACTTGGTGTTCGCTTTTCCATAGACGAGAGTGCAAGGATTTATTCACACTTTCTTCTTCCTGTACCTTCTCCTAGCATCTTCCTGAGTCATTTCTCTTTCCATGGGGTCATTTCCTGCGATTATGCTTTCGCTGGGACTCGGGGTAACTGACGACATAGTTATTTGCTAGGCCCCTGTGTGCTGTTTCCTTAACTCCTAAGGCACGACCCTTCATTGTCTCGGGCCCAGTGTGATTGTTGAGAAGTGCAATGACCCTTGACTTTTGTTCCTTCTTTCCGGAAGTTTTTAGAAAACTTGCCTGTCTATTCATGTTCTAGGTCCACCTCCTGCTCTCTTGCTTCCTCCTGTTGAGATTTTTCTGAGCTAAGCTGTGTCATTTTTCTTGCAAACTGAAGAATGTCTCTAGAATATCCACCACTGATTCTCTTCAGGAATTCCCATTCTTCAAATATTGATGCTCTCTATCTCGTCTCCTCAACTCTTTTTGTTTTTTAAATATCATTTTTCTTTTTTACTCCTTCCTGTTAACCTTTTGTGAGAGCCCCACTTGAAACTCCTACTCACTATTTTTTTAGCAATTACCAGGGTGCTATTCTTTAACATTTTATCAAGTTGGTATAGCTGCCCTATAGTGACAAAATTTTTCCTTCTTAAATTCTTGGTTTGTTTCAAAACTCATGCTCCAGAAGGTACGCACTGCTCAGAGCCGTCTTCCCTCTATAGCCCTCCTCATCTAGTTGTTTTGCCAGTGAGTTCATGTTCGCTGGACACGTTGGCCATTCTGGGGCGGTATGTTAGGAAAGGCCTGAGTGGGGGTGGGGAGTGTGTGGGAAAATCCACAGTGCAGAGCCCAGATGACACGGAACCACTGTGGGCCATCCTTGTTTGCTGCCTCTGCAACAGGAGTGTCCCTTGACCAAGGCTTCACCTCTAACTCAAGGGAGCAGTGGCACCGGGAGAAAACATTGCTAGGCCACCAGCTTGGCCACTTGGGATGGACAGTTGTTCGAGTGACTGTCAGAACACAATGGGTCAGCCCGCAAGGGTAGAGCTTTTACAAGTTCCTCTGCCCCTCACCCTGGCCGGCCCGGCCACCCCCTGCGGGGTGTCCTTCCTT